GCAAGAAAATTGGTAAGACGGGACAAAACTCATTTAAGAACTGCCTTGCTTAGCAAGGGAAAATCTGGGACTCAATTGTGGTTGTAGTTCAAGGACTACCTGTCAGTGGCATGGCTCCAGGCTACCTGAGGAACCATCTCATCTCATGGAATTGGACCGAACCGCTGACACCAGAAGGGACATGCTGAAGACCCCCATCAGCCAAAACAGGGGTCTCCAACACTGGCTGCTTTACGACTTGTGGACTTCAATTCCCAGAATAACATTGCACCTGATGGAACAATCAGTACTTGATCTCACCACTTTAGCAGAAGGATTGGCTGAGAATTCTGGGGTAAATAGTCCTCTAACACAGGGGTCTCCAACCTTGGCTACCTATTTGTGACTTAGGGTCTTCAACTCCCAGAATTTCTCAGCCAGCACATGCTTGCTGAAGAATTCTGGGAACTGGAAGTCCACAAGTCGTAAAGTAGCCAAGGTTGGAGACCCCTGAGCCAAGGAATTTCGGCCACCAGGGTACAGGAGAAGACCTTTTTCTGCTGTAGCTTCTGGAAGATTGTTCCCCGCGAGGCGAGATCTGCCCCCTCTCCCTCACCTTTTAAGACCTCCAAAAGGGCCTTTAAAACCTAGCTCTGCTGGTTGGCCTGGGGCTTGGAGGGGGCTCAGGCCATTCTGGAGAAGATTACAGGATTTAAACACTCCCACTCCATTGTATGCGCCCCTCCTCCATCTTGTCATTGTTTCTAATGTTATATTGACGGTTTTGACACAATACTGTTTTTATTGTGTTGTAAACCACCCAGAACAGCATCACAGCGAGATGAGTGGCATATCAACTTAATAAATAAAATAAGAAAAATAAGCAGCTTTTGAACAGGGTAAGAGCAGCTGAGGGCAGAATGTTCCTGAAAATTGATGATCCCCATGTGGGTGAAGAAGAGCCTCATGCTGGGAAAGATTGAGGGCAAGGGAAGAAAGGGACAGCAGAGAATGAGGTGGCAGGATGGAGTCACCGAAGCAGCCGGCGTGAGCTTAAATGGACTCCAGACGATTGGTAGAGCACAGGAAGGCATGGAGGAACATTGTCCAAGGGGTCGTGATGGGTTGGACATGACTTCAATGTAGGTAAGAGGAACCTTAATTTGTAAAAATAACTTGGATATAAATTTTTAATTGGGACTTAAGGAAAAGACCTATAAATTTTATTAATAAATTCTTGTCTAGATATTGCTATAAAGGTATAATTTCTTTTGGGGCTGATGAGAGGAGAGGTGATATTAATAGTAAATAATTTTCAGTTAATTACAATAATAACAAGGAAATGTTGATGGATAATGTTTAATGGTGTATGTGTGTGTGTATGTATGTATGTATGTTGTATTAGTAAAAGCAAATTGGATATAAGCTTTAAATTGTGAGTTGGGGGGGAATAGGGGAGGGAAATGCTTAGATATCTTATTAACTGATTTTGTTTCAGAATAGGTTATAAAGGTGTGATGTTATTGGAGGTTTATTGAAATTGCGAATGAAT